TAACCGCTTACGTGGCTGACAACCACCGAACTTGGGACAAGTTCCTCCAGCCGGTAGCTTGCGCGATTCGCTCTGCCCGGCATGAGACCACCAACTTGACCCCAAACTTTATAGTCTTTGGGCGGGAGCTCAAGCTCTCGGGAAAGGATGTCCACCCCCTGACAGAGCAGCTTGAGGATAACCCGATAGACCCACGGATGCGGCATGAGGCCCTTCAGAAAGTGTTTGAAGATGTGAGTGAGAGGCTGAAGGAAGCTTACAGCCGGAGTAGCCGGCAGTATAATCTACGTCGCCGGGACGAGCGTTTTCAACTTCACCAGAAGGTATGGAAGCGCAATTATGCGATCTCTGATAAAGCCCAAGGAATAACGGCCAAGTTCCTCAATAAGTTTGACGGCCCATTCGTAATTTCCCGTGTTCTCTCCCCGTGGTCGTATGAGCTGATAGGACCTACCGGTGCCAGTGCGGGCGTGTGGCACGCCAAGGATCTAAAAGCTCATCCACCCGATGACGATCCTGAATCCAGTGATTAGTACCTTCCTTACATGTGGTACAGTGGTAGCAGTAGGATTTTCATCGTTCATTATTAGTATATTCAAGAAAAGTTTTTTTTCTGAACCAAAAAAAAAAACTTTCGCTAAGTAGAGGGGTGTTGTTACGAGTTTATTTCAATACCTACCTGGATTTCATATCATAATAAGTGGGTCTTTATTTGTGTTCTATGATTCACTTTATTACCCAACATTGTAATAAATATAAATTCTTCCCGTATGTATATGTCGAGGAGGGTTTATTCAGCACTCAACCCGGATGCATTTCTATTCCTCGAGAGAAGGGGAATGAATATTAGTCAACCACTAAAAAAGCTGTAATCTTATCACTTTTGGTAGTGTTCCTCCCTGGGATGCTTTGGGCTGCAAGTATCTAGTAGGGTCGTCCGCAAAACTCCAGGCACCTAGTCAGCTACCGCAGCCCTCCATCTTCATTGGAATGAAATTTCCAGGCATTTTCCTGTGAGACCGATTCCCTCTCACCGCAATTTCTAAGGACTGATCCATTTGTTTATTTACCTTTCGATATTTCTCTCTCGATCAGATTCTCGAACTCCGATAGACGTGAATTCTTCCACGGACCGTCAACGGTATTCTACCTTGTAACCAGACCCGTAGCCTTGGCTACCATGCGCGGTACTTACACCGAACTGTACTGACCACTGAGCAAATAGCGTCGACGTCATCTCATCACCACAACCTGCACCACTCGAGATCGGGGTAATATGATCAAGGTACTAGAGTGGAGGTACTATGGCTCAGGTACCCAATGACTTTCGAGCACGACTCAACGGATTACACCAATAACAGATAGATGGCGCTGTGGGAGCATCCTAGTACTACTAGTACCACCAGCTAGTTAGTGACTTTTCGACGAAGTCAAACTTCCTTTTATTTCTAGGGTATCGATTCTTACACTTACCTGACCTCTTATGACAGTACTGACATCTCCTGACATAACTGACATTTACTGACATTTACTGACATAACTGACATCCCCTGACATCACTGACACCTCGAGACAAGGAGCGACATAGCCCCCTTGCCCCTCAGATTATTTTCGAGATTTTTGGTAATCTTTGTTGAAGCACGTGCTTCAGTTAAATCGCTTTTGCGGATTCTTTACCAAACAGAAAATATCACCTGGAAAATATCGCTCAAATAATCATTTTGTTGATATTCTTGAGCAGCACAATTGTGGATCGAATTTTCCAGTGTGATCATCATCCTTGAGGCCTCCCTCCATCCAAGGTAAGGCACCTCTCCTAACCTACACAAGGAATCTTATTTCACTCCCTTATACCATGTTTGCTATTGCTATTGTAGGCCTCCTTCGGGGGATTATTAACCTGCACGAATCCCCGTGCTTCCACCTGCTTATCTGCACCCTTCCTGCATGAGAAATCATTGTATTTATTGCTTGTCGACGCCCTACTCCTCACCCAGCGCCGAGCCCCCTGCGGCACCAATTTGCCAGGAGCTTAAACGGTTTGATTCGATACGAGAACCGCACTAACATCCAGATATACAAGTAAGATCATTCCATTTCTTATTTGCTGCTGTCTATGCTTCACCGTCTGATGCTTTCATGCCTATTGCTGAATAGATAGAACCTACGCTTGCTTCCCTCCTGGAATTTCGAACATAGCCATACAGTAGCTACATATATTTGAAGAAATATCTACTGCCTGAGTGATCCGCTCTCATAACTGTTAAATTTGCACCAGTCACCCCCTACAGATAACCCTTGGTATTTGAGTGTGAACCGACAGTATTTATATATATATATACATACGCCCGGGGCCTAACTACTGTCATTGTACCAGTAGGGAATAATATTATTATTTATCGTAGCTTACCCCATGTAACTCTCCTTGAACCTTTGATCTTATAATACTATAATTATATATGCATTCATAGTTATCTTTGGAAATTTTACTCACTATCCCTCTCCGCTGAGCTATCAAAAATCAGTATTTACGAAGGAGTAGTAAGAAAAAGTGGTTACAGTGTGTTAAAACTTTTAAAAAAGATCGGTTTTTTATGAATATCTCAAATGTCCTTCTACCGATTTTCTCGATATTTGGCAATGATATTCTTCGTCGCTACGCGTCGGGAGACAAAAAACCGTGAGCTAAAATCTCATATTTTTCCCGTGTATAATACACTATTTTTTTCTATGACAGAATAAATGACGAATCAATGTTGAGCAGATATTAACGTTATTTTGAAATCTGAAAATTACCGACTTGAAATTTTAAGTTTTTAACAGTAGGAACACCTGCGTTGTAGACATCTTCATTATTCTTTTGAAGTAATCAAATATCTGATGTCATTTATGTCAGTCTAATTCTGAGAATTGATTCCACAAAATTGCGAATTTAGTGGTTGTATAGTAATATACGTAACCGCGAAGTCGAATGTAAGATAAAAGGACTTGCAGATCTTTCTCGGAGACGGTATTACTGACTCATTTTTCGGAACTATAGCACAACAAAAGCCATCAACAGTGTATACAGGGTGTCCGGAAATTATGCGCAAAAAATCAAGGGGGTGATTCTACATTACGAAATAAGAAATTCATTTCATATGTACGTGAGTCCGGAAATGCATAGTTTTCAACATACAGTGTGTTAAAACTTTTAAAAAAGATCGGTTTTTTATGAATATCTCAAATGTCCTTCTACCGATTTTCTCGATATTTGGCAATGATATTCTTCGTCGCTACGCGTCGGGAGACAAAAAACCGTGAGCTAAAATCTCATATTTTTCCCGTGTATAATACACTATTTTTTTCTATGACAGAATAAATGACGAATCAATGTTGAGCAGATATTAACGTTATTTTGAAATCTGAAAATTACCGACTTGAAATTTTAAGTTTTTAACAGTAGGAACACCTGCGTTGTAGGCATCTTCATTATTCTTTTGAAGTAATCAAATATCTGATGTCATTTATGTCAGTCTAATTCTGAGAATTGATTCCACAAAATTGCGAATTTAGTGGTTGTATAGTAATATACGTAACCGCGAAGTCGAATGTAAGATAAAAGGACTTGCAGATCTCTCTCGGAGACGGTATTACTGACTCATTTTTCGGAACTATAGCACAACAAAAGCCATCAACAGTGTATACAGGGTGTCCGGAAATTATGCGCAAAAAATCAAGGGGGTGATTCTACATTACGAAATAAGAAATTCATTTCATATGTACGTGAGTCCGGAAATGCATAGTTTTCAACATACAGTGTGTTAAATCTCTTAAAAAAGATCGGTTTTTTATGAATATCTCAAATGTCCTTCTACCGATTTTCTCGAAATTTGGCAATGATATTCTTCGTCATGAGGTGCTGATATAGTCATAGTTCAATTGGAAATATGGAATCCAGTGGCGTCCCGGGGGGCAACCTACCGAATATTATTGTCAATAAAATGTGCGCCACTGATTTTTTTCAATTCTGTATCTTTATAACCTATTTACCAACTGAGATTACAACATTTTGGTTTCTTGGATTGTTTCTATAATTCGCTTCATTTCCATGGAAAAAAATAAATACCAATTTATTGCATAAATTTGTGCTAAAAAATTCCTACGAAAAGTGGGGTAAAAATAAACGCGGGATCGATGTCCATAGACATAGAATAAGTATGAAGATTCATTTTCTTCAAATATTTTTTTATACATGTTTGACACCTACAGTCTGTATATTGAGAACTTTGTATTCTTGGTCCAGGAAGGCGTAGTTGTCGATAATAGGTACAAAGTGTATCAAAGATGTATTATAGAATATTTGAAGAAAACGAATCTTCATTTTTATTTTACGTCTATGGACATGGATCACACATTCAATTTCACCCCTGTTTTTGAAGCAATATTATGAACAAATTTATACAATGAATTGGTTTTTTTTTCACGGAAACGCAGCAAAATAGCAAAACACTTCAAGAGACCAAAATGTTGTATTTTTAGTTAATCATTAGGATATGAAGACATGGAATTTGAAAAAAATCAGTGACAATAATATTCGGTAGGGTGCCCCTGGGACGCCACTGGATTCCACAATTCTAATATAATTATGGATAAATCAGCCCCTCGTGACAAAAAATATCATTGCCAAATTTCGAGAGAATGGGTGGAAGGATATTCGAGATGTTCATAAAAAACGTTTTTTTCTAAAAAGTTTAACGCACTGTATCTTGAAAACTATACATTTCCGGACCCAAGTATATATAAAATAATTCTCATGTTTTCTCATGCAGAATCGCCCTCTTGATTTTTGCGCATAATTTCCGGACACCCTGTATATATGTGATATATATCCGGGAAAGAAGTACTCACTTTTTTCCCACATGAAAAAAGTAATTTATGAAAAGGAATGAAATGCCAAACTTTCTTCCCATCACAGAAAAGAACAATTAAACCAATTGCGGACTGCCTCCCATACTCACTTCTGGGTCGGCCACGTTGCCACCTCGTCCAATAGATTCTCATACTGTGCGCCCAAACTCCTATTGTTCATTTCGCTGATCAAAGGCGTGTTCGTCACCCCTGGACACACGGCAACCACTCGTACCTTGTTCCTGTCGTAGAAGGTGTCACAACCCCAGGACTTCGTCAGTCCTAGGACTGCGTGCTTTGTAGCTGCGTAGATGGGCACATGGGCGCTTCCTTCCAGACCAGCTATGGAGGATGTGTTGACGATAAGGGCCTCCGGGCCTTGTTGGTACTTGGGCAGGTATTTCTCCATTGCGAGGAGCATGCCATGAATCACTCCATTCTGTATGAATAAACAAACTTTAGTAGGGCAAAGTAGAGTGGAGAATAGAACATACTGCAAATGTACTGGGCTAGTTTTATCAATGTGAAACCCCTTCATCTTCTTTGTTTCCTGTACATTCAAGAAGATTCAAATCTGATTTTTTAACGATATTCCATATTGTTTCCAATCATATTGAGAGAGTGTTGCAATATCTCTTCAAATATACAGGGTATACAGAAATATATTGGTTTTTTATATGGAATGCGCTGTATATTTTGATAGATAAAGATCCTTCTATATACAGGGTGTCCGCTAAAAGGAGGTCAATCCATCAACCACATATATTCCTTGAACAAAAACAATATGAGTTTCATTTTTCATTTTAGCCCTTCATATTCGGTATACAGGGTGTCAAAGTTCGAAATTAAAAACTGTTTTTTTCTAATTACTTGCGTATTTGATAAGATATTAGGTAATCTCAAAATTGGTACATTACTTCAGCACAAAGAGTTACATCGTGCGAGGAAAACAAAACAGAAAATAACTGTCAAATATTCAAGATACTGGGGGTCAAGTTCACACTTACCCCCATATTTTGTTTGTACGTGCGCTAATGACTTCCTCTCTATTTTCCTTCAAGTGTTCAATCATTTTTGAGTATTTTTTGTTTCCTGTAAAATTTCGATTGAATCATTTGTTTTGATAATTCGAAAAGTACTGATTATTGTTTGATGCCTATGCGGCTTAGGTAATCTCATGTTCACATACTCCTATTTATTTCGTCGAAATTGAAAGAGGGCGTATCTTTTTACGTACGAAAAGGTAAATATGGAAATACCGGGTGCTCGGAGCAAATGTACTAAAATAATTTTTACAAAAAAAAAAAATTTAAAAAGTGTAAAAATACATTCATACATTCGCTCTGAGCACCCGGTATTTCCATATTCACCTTTCCGTACGTAATAAGATACGTCCTCTTCCAATTTCGACTAAATGAATAGGAGTATGTGAACATTATGAGATCACCGTAAGCCGCAAGGCATCAAACAATAACCAGTACTTTTCGAATTATCTTAAAAACAAATAATTTTATCGGAATTTTACAAAAATCAAAAAATACTCAAAAATGATTGAACACATGAAGAAAAATAGATAGGAAGTCATTAGCGCACGTACAAAAAAAATGTGGGGATAAGTGTGTACTTGACCCCCAGTATTTTGAATATTTGACAGTTATTTTCTGTTCTGTTTTCATCACACGATGTAACTCTTTGTGCTGAAGTGATGTACCTATTTTGAGATTAATATCTCATTAATTACGCGAGTAATTAGAAAAAAACAGTTTTTAATTTTCAACTTTGACACCCTGTATATCGAATAAGAAGGGCTAAAATGAAAAATGGTAATTAGAAACTCATATTATTTTTGTTCAAGGAATATATGGTTAATGGATTGACTTCCTTTTAGCGGACACCCTGTATATGTTTGAAATCAGGATGATTTAGGGAATTCGAATTCATCGAAATATACAGGGCGTTTCGATTGAAAAAATATTTATTTCTGTATACCCTGTATATTTGAATAGATATTGCATCATTGTCAAAATGAGTGAAATCTGTGCGAAAAATTGTATGAAATCAGTTCTGAAATTTCTTGAAGGGGTGAAAAACAAAAAAGATAGAGGGGGGTTTACATTATTGAAACTAGCCCTGTACGAAGATCTTCCTCCACCTTTTACCTAGAGTGCTTGTCTATCTGCTTCCATCTGCTTCCATCAGTGTGTGACTGACTGATAGTGTGGTTGACAATCTACTCACGATTATCAATCGCTTATATACAGGGTGTTTCTTATGTACGTATAGAAAATTTAGGCGCATGCTGCTGACGTCAAAATAAGAAGAAAAATTTGTATAAATATATGTCCGAAAATTATTCTTTTCTGAGATACAGAGTGTCAAAGTTGAAAATTAATTTTTGTTTTTTGTCAATAAATTTCAAAATAATCCATATATTGGAATACAATTTGGTATCTAGAGGTATTTTTCAATGACAATATCAAATTGTATGTTAGTTTGTCTCTTTCGTGAGGGTGGCGCAACCTACATATTCGTCGTCAATTTCACAAAGTGACGTAACTCAGTTTATCTGATTTTTCAGGAGAGCCGTTTGAAGTTTTATGCAATCTTCAGGTGATTACAAAATGATGATGAAGATATCTAATCAGGATGATCTTTGGTATACATAGAGTATGGACTCTCTCTACCTGACTGTTCATGGAAACAGTAAAAAAAAATTGAGTGACGTTGAGATTTTGAAAAAAACATGAGTTACGACCATTTGTAAGACTAGATAATCCTATTGTATAACCACTTACGTCCGATAAAGGTTTTGTCAAAAATGTATTCCATTGGTTTAAAAAAAACTAATGAATGAAAAAACATGTTCTATTGACCCTAAAGAAATAAACAATACACCAGGTCACAAAATACAAAATAAAAATATTTATTCCATAATAAATACAAAGGATATTATAGAAATAAACAATACACTAGGTCACAAAATCCAGAATAAAAATATTTTTTCCATAATAAATACAAAGAATATTATATAATTCTTGGAACATGGAATACCCTCAAAGAAAGATTGCCTCTGTGGAATGTATAATATAACTAATACATCTTCAATGTGGAAGTAATCTGAAAAATAATTGGTGTTCTTGCAACCTGACAACTGGAGTATTCCCAGTGCAAAGAGATTGCAGATCGGAGTATTTTTCTTCTGATATTTTATTAACTTGTGCATTGAGCTTTCGGACAGAAACTTCTCTGAGATCCTTATTATTATTTAGTCGTTTCAGTGACAATGATTTATAATGTTTCTCTAGATGACTAGTCTTGAAAAATATTGTTTTTGGGTAATGTATAGATACTTTGACCTCCATGATATCATTCCATTTAAATGTTTCTCCAGTTTCTGTGGTTTTGATATTCAGAATACGTAACTCTTTCGACAATGTCTTGAAGTCCAAAAAGTCGTCGAATTGTAAGGGAATAACATCGTATGGTTGTTGCTTCCGAGCTAGTTTGAAAACTGGAGACGTCCATTTTTTTTGCAGGTTTCACCATTGCACCTTGGCTTTATACTCCTACACGGTACCGTTTTGGAACCCTTCACAGTTTCATATGCTTTACCAGCATTTCTCAGAGCCTTGGCTAATTTCTGCTTATTAACGCGAATCTTTTTACTTCGATCTCCTTCTTTCTCATGTCCATCAACTTGATGATGTTCAGGTTGAATGCTTATTCTCGTGTTAGATAATTTTGGAAGTATCGGTGTTCTTCTCATTGGATTTTTATGATAATTACAATCGGGATTAGTGATAAAATGGTCATAACATAATAGAATTGAACAACGATGGCACGAACTGAACACTTCAATCCCACATCTATGATATTCGCATCTTGCAATGTATGGTGGATCGTCATCTGAATCATAAAATTCATTCTCACTGAATTGATTGCTAGTCGTGTCCTCTTCTACAAGTTCTACTTGGTTTTCCAATTTTCTTTTAGATTGAGCTAAGGGTAAGTTGTCATCTGATGAAAATGCTTCTTGTTGCTGAAGCATTCTAATTTTGATTTGAGACAACGGCACGTCCTCTGAGGAATCCGAATTCTCATCACTGATTACATCATATTTGGTCTGAATTACCTTTCCACATTACCATACATTATCGTAAAACATATTCACTTGAGCTCCGATCTTGAGGGTACCTCGAAACATGAGTTCATTCAATGAAACAACATTTTTTGTGCCATCTTTCCATAATACAAGCACATCCATCGTAATTCTTATAATTATAATCCACCCCTGACTGCGTGCTCGAACGTCTTTACTGCAACTGATGGCATTAGACTATTGGGAATTGATGAAATACAGTGTAATCTGCAAGTCTCAACAAGTCTCAACATGCAGATACGCCAGACCTGGAATAGGCGAATTCTCATAACATACTCTCACAAACTGACGTTACTCCAGATACGTCCCTATGTGAGAATATAAAATTGAACATTTTGAGATATGCCACTTACTGAATGTGCTATTGAAGGAAAAATACACCACTTTGGGTTACGCCACTTTGTGAGAGGATAGTTCTACGAAAAATAAATGGTTTCGTGGTCTTATCTCAAAATCGGCAATTTTTGAGTTACGTCACTTTGTAAGATTGACGACGAATATGTCTATTGAGTCTTTAAAAAAGTCATAACTTTCATGTGCGTACCTGTATAACGTTTCATAGAAAAGAAATAGATTTCTAGAACACTTTTGTGTAGAAAATATATTCTTGGAAGAGGTCGCTTCGAGCAACTGTTTTCGAGTTATTGGGATTAGAAATAATCGATGCATTTGAATTATTTTCATGTGACTCGTAAGTCGTCTCTAGTGAGTATCAGGAAAGATACGCCAGTGCATTTTTCTTCTTTCATTCAATATTCTTCTTCATTCAACATTGGAATGCAGGCAAAATATGATTCTTACTTCTGGGTACCTACTTTCTTGGACTCTCCCAATTGAAACAAATATAACAACCAAGTGCGAGTACTTGTCATGATATTTCAATCCGTTCTTGTGAGAGTGAAGTTTGTTGTCTTCTTTACTTGTGATCCAAGCCTTCTCAACTAACTGTTTTGGTATCAATTTGGTCCTAATTACTCTTATCATTATCAGTATTAAATTGTTATAACACCCGATTCCTATTTTTTAATAGAATTGAAGAAAAATAGTTCCTCTCACCTCATAAATCAATTTTGAATTCCAACTTCTTGTCATCCCAAATTACCTGCATTGATTATTTCAAATCCCAATAACTCGAAAACACTTGCTCGCAGCAACATCTAACAGGAATATATTTTTTACACAAAAGTGTTTTAGAAATCTATTTTTCTACTATGAAACGTTGAACAGGTGAGCACAAAAAAGTTATGACTTCTCAAAAGACTCAAAAGACATGTAGGTGG